TGGGTGCCTTGGGCAGCCCTGGCCACTCCAGCAGAGAGCAGGCAGAAGTCAAACACGACGTGATAAATGGCTCTGTCCGAAAACTGAGTGCAAGCCAAAACCTACAGGGTCTAAGAAAAAAATAAGCATGGGCTGCATTGAAGAATCAATTTATCAAGAAGTGTCCCTGAAAGTAAGCCTCCTCATCAGCAAGTCTGTGAATCTCAGCATGGATACATACCTTTTTGTACGAACACAGCTATTATACTGCCAGAAGAGACACTTTCAGGAAAGAATATTTTTCCCCAAACAACTTTCTCGTGTGATTTTTTTTTTGTTTGCTTGTTTGATGGTGCTTTTCTTTTGGAAACTATACAGAGGAAAAAGTGAATGAAGCTGACCCGTCTGTTCTTCTTGCTCCTTTTTTATGTGTTACGAGATAGCATCTGAACAAATCCCTTTTGCAGAATGCTCAACTACATGTTTGGACACTGTAAAGAACTTTTAAATAGACATTAATTACCTTCAGACTTTAGGAAAATTGTCTTAATGTAAACGAGAAGCTCCAGGGTAGAGTTATAAGACATTTCATAAAATTCCTGATGAAATTCATTGATCTTTCACAAAACACCTTAAGGAAAAAAAACAAAAACAACAACAAACCCAGCTAGAAATGAACAGCAAAGAACTTAAGTTTATTTTAAAAACTCATTGCTAACACAGTAAAGAGGCTATGCTGATCATCTGCTGTGAAGCGATCAGATAGCCACGCCAGTGCCTAACTGTCCAGCCACTGAAATGTTTTTTTGCATTGGCTTTTCTTAGTCTGAAGAAAAATTAATGAGTTCACCTTAACAAAACAATGGAAGACTCATAAGCCTAAAGTGTCTTTGGAGTCAGCATGAGCAGCAACACCTTGCAAGTTAAGCCCATAATGAAAATTTAAAAAATGCATCAGTTGTTCTATCAAAACCTGAAAGTCAGGCTGTTAACAGAGATAACAGTATGAAATCTTTCAGGAAGCGTGGCAGTAATCACTGTAAAATAAAAAAAAATAATCTTCCCTTCTTCTATCTGGTTGTACAGGTGATAAAGTGCTTTCCTTAAAAAAAAAAAAAAAAAAAAAAATTATAGCTAAGTCAGGTGGTGTCATTTTGAAAGAAAAAAAAGCCAGTTTGGTCTTGTGAAAAGAACAGATTAATCCTTTTCAGTAGATATGAGTTGAGCGTTGTAAATGCTACTGCTGCAGGCAAGATTATAGAGTTTGTAGTCCCTATTACAGCCATGTGATCTTAAAGCCAATACCAGTTAGTGTTCTTATTAGAATGCAATTTTTCCACTGCTTCGTTACAGCATTTTCCCTTTACCACCCCCACTTCTGCAATACTTCGTTCAGCACTTACTGGAACCAGTCCCCTCCACAACTAGCATCTCGCTCTTTGAGTCAGCTCATGATATTATTCAGAGCAACTCAGTATCTCCAAAGTGCCCTCTGTCTAACAGTGGGACAGACGGACAGCCTTGGCAAATTTGGATGCCCAAACGAAACCCCAGACCTGAGTGTCCAGCATAGGGACAAGCACCCCAGATTCCATTTAAGCAGCATTTCTTGCCATCCCCGCAGGGTGTTACTCCCCACCCAAAAAAGCAGTAAAATCCAGGACCCTCATCAGGGAGATGCTCAGGGCTGGGATGTGGCCGCTGTGCTGGATGTCACCTGGGAGCACAGGGAGAGGGGCTGGTGTCGTGCGAATCTCTACGTGGGGAAGCAGCGTTTGGTCCCTGGGTGCTCCCAGGATGCAGAGGGAGTCAGCGCAAGCCCGAGGAAGCAGACACGGTGGATGGAGATGAATTGCGACAGGTTACAAGATGAGTCATTCACATCTAACCTGCTTCCGCTGTGTATTTGCCCATGTATTTTCCTCTGATGCTACCAGAACTAGAATTGCCGTCTCTTGCAGCGTGAATTTCTATAGAACCTATTGAAAAGGATGAGTTTTCTGTTATTTTTATGTAACGAGTACGTAAGCCTTGCTTTCGCTTCAGCCCTTGCCCTATTGACTCCAAGGCAGTGACTAGAATGTGGAAACTTGGCTTATGTATTGATTTTACCCATACAGTTCAGCTATATAAAATTTGATAGTCTCTGTTCGGTTTTGCTAATAAAAAAATCCTGGGAAGCAATGTCATAATACAGTAAAGCATGGGGAAATCATAATGCTTAGCAAGGATGAATTGCATGCAAGTATCGGAGCTAATGGAAAATTGAGTAAAAGGTAGAAAAAAATTTCATTTATCACATCCTGTTTGCATTTATTATGGACTACTCCTAAGTGATAACCACCCTAAAAATAGAGAATTATTGCTTTTGCAATTAGATTAAAATATAACTAAGACTAAAATATAAGGAATTAAACCAGTAAAATACTTCACAGATTAATTTCTTAAGAAATGAAAACTCCATCTCTCCTTTTCAGCTACTGTCTGCCTTTCCCTGCTTAGCCAGCGAGAATTGCAGGGACAGGCCGCATGTGTTTTTGGGAACTCGCCATCAGGCTTTTCCATTCCTCCAAGTTAATTCAGCAGACACCCCACAGGCACTGTTTGCACGCAACTAAAATCCCTTGCACCCTTATGAGCCAGCGATCATTATGCATTCCCCAAGCTTTGTCCAACCCTTTTCGTGAGGAAAAACTGCCAGGCATGATAAGCAAGCGATGCATGGCTGTTCTTTGTGAAGACAACTATTGTCTGCTAAGAGTAGAGGCGAGCCCTCCAAACCCCCCTGGCTTCAGACCTGACGCTGGGCTCAAACCACGGTCCAAGAATTAAATGCTCAGCACATTAGCTGCTAACCCACCAGGCACGGCTTAACCTTGCAAGCAGATCATCACTGCCTGGTCCCAGAAAGATGATTTATGATTATATGACAGTCCCTTCTCTTTCTTATATAGGCCAACATGTTGCTCTAGAGTAAAGAAATCAGCTTTTTTTATCATGTTGAACTCTGTCTGGATAAAGAAACACTCTAGTTCCTTATTTCCATAGGTTTATCCTTGAATAACTCACCAAGGCTGTTGCTACTTGTAGCCAGTACTATAGCATCCCCTGTGAAAAGCACAGCGTAGAAAGTGAAGCTAGCATAACTATGTTATTTTCTGAACTTGTCTGTAACGCATTAATGTAAGTAAGTCCAATTCTCCAGTGCGTCCTGGCTGAAATGAACCATGAACACAATTTCTTGCTCTCTTTAGGTGCTCCCTCAACGCATGAAACCTTTTCAAACCCACTTCCAGTTTACTGTGGGAAAAATCATGAAAAGATACTGAGCTGTTTCCTTGATGCTACGCCCATCCCTGAAGAGTTAACACCACAGTAGGCACCAAGTTGCTCTAAACTTCAGCAAGGGGTGGATTTCTAACGTTTCCAAGATCAGGAGATACCAGAAATGGCATACAACTGCAGGAGCTTCCCGTACTCTTACTCGTGTTAGACATCTCACCACCCATGCACAAACTCTCATGCCGTTACATGCTTTGAACACACCACATAGCTGAGGCTGTTGGCTAAGGTGCCTGTGGGGCTCCAAGGCCCCTTGACCCTTCTCTCTGCAGTGATGGGTCCCTGGGCACACATCGGTCTCTCTTTGCATTTAGCAGTCCCTCATTCTCATTCCCCCATTCCCAGGGCTGGCTTTCCTCATCCTGCACGGAAGCAGGCTCTCATCGCCAGGTCCAGACCCACGGGGTCTGCATTTCTACTTATCTTCTCGCACAGACTCGGAGGAAGTCCCGCATTGGTTTTCTCGGACTAAGTCTGGTCATTTGGCTATTGCATAGAATCACTTTGATTATATTGTGTGTTTGGGAATATGGGGAGAATAAGAAAATGGTGTCAGAAGCTTTAGCTCACACAGACGTAAAACCAGTGCAAATCATCCTGCCTGTGTGTCACAGCAGGGTGTGTGTCACAGGCTGCTGTGGCATTGCACACCCAGGGCCACTCCATTTTTTACACCCGTGTTAACTCTCCAAGTGAAAAGACTCAGCTCCTCAGCCTTCCTGCATTGCCAGTGTGGACAGGTTCCTTCGGAGCCTCGTCTGAACTCCTGCGTTGGCTCCTTGCTCTTGGGCACCCTCACAGCTTAGGGAGGAAGCTTAGGGAAAACTGGTCTCAGCTTAAGTGCAAACACTCCCTGAAATATCTTCTGCCACACTTAAATCTGAATCCTGCTGCAGTAACAGTGCAAGGAGAAATAACAGTGTGAGGGGCAAGCCTGCCGTAGTCAGCAGTGTTTTATACAAGAGCCTGGGAAAGACAGCTGAGGAGCCATCAATCTGCTGCGGTTCGGTTTCTAGAAAGCCAGTGAAGCTCGAGGAGCCCTGGGATACCCTTCAAGGTGCCCCACAGCCAGTCCCTCCTGGCAGCAGTAAGGACAGGGGGTGATTGGAAAGCAGCAGCCCAGGACATTTGCTCAGAAGTCTCTAGTTCCCTCCATCATGACTCACCCTAAACCTCCAGCACCAACCCGTCTCGCCCTCCCACAGCCGTGCCCAGCGAGGACGAGCGTGGAGCTCGGGGCAGTGTAATGGCAAGGCTGCAGCCCGGTGTGTCCCACCACACCACTCGGGGCTGGGGGTGTCACAGCTCAGCAAAGCAGCCGTGGGTTGGCAGTCTCGAGAATTTGTTCTCTGAGAACTAGAGGAGACTATTTCTGGGCTTCCGTGGGAGTCTGGCCCAAGCAAGGGTAGACCACAGCATCCCACCCCATCACAGCACCCCATCACCCTTTTTCACTAAAGTCTGCAGCTGCCCAGTTAGCCCGGAGACTCGTTACCTGATGCAGTTGTTCCTTCAAGCAGCGTTTTTGCTTAGAGGGATTGCACCTTCTCTGCTCCAATTAGACCAATTTATTTTAAAAATTCTCCTTTTCTTTCCAAGACACAAAAATAGAATGAGAGTACAACAGAAACACAAAGACATACAAATGATGGCCTCCATGTATACCTTGAATCATCATCTTAAAACGCTCCCTGAAGAAAAGTTCTGGCAATGCAGCGTGGCCCTTTCACTGAGCTCTCCATGGACTTTCCCAGCGCCGGACCCAGCCGAGCTGCTAACAAAGACCACGCTGGGAAAGCCCGAAGCACCTGCAGCCACCTGGGGTCCTCCTCTTTGTCTCTTGCTGCATTTTCAGGGTCCTGCAATGCCATACTGTCCCAGGGCAAATAGTCTCGAGGTGAAAATATGGAGTTCAGCCCGTACGGTTGGGTCCAGAACTTTGTATCCTGAAGCAGAAGAAAATGTGGGTTGAGTGAAATCATTTCTTTCCCAGCTCTGAGGTCAGTCTCGTCACCGTGTCTCGGGAAGGGTCCTCTGGCTCTGCCAGGACAAGAGTCTCTCCATCTTTCCTATTTAAAAGTGTGTGCCCGCTCCTCGGCAAATAGATGTCGCAGTCCAAAGGCAGCTTTTTAAACTGAATGCCAGCTGAAACACGTAGCTATTTTTTTCATCAAGAAATTCATCAACAGGCTTTTTTTTTTTTTTTTATAAAGATACAAGGCTATCTCCCCTCTTCACCCGCTACATCACCTGCTCACCACAACCCTCAGCCACCTGGAAAAAAGCAGCTTAAAATGCAACCAAATTAAAAAAATAAATTTCCCTGCACCCTTTAATGTTGTAGCTAACAGTTACCCTGCTGAAGCAAGAGTTTGAAACCTTGAACAGGATTCTAACCACTTTAAGAAGGAAACAGGGGTTATAATTTAAATGTCTTCTTACTCGATAGCCCTGGAAAATAGTAACATGAACAAAGAGATTATGTCTGAAATATTTTAAAAGCCATTTCAGAATAGTGATTTTTTTCTTGTATAAAAAGTGATTTTTCTTGCATGAAGCTTTTTTCAAAGAGGAGATTAATAAGAAGGAAATTTGTCTACAGAAACCTTCACAGGATATTGGCTGACAAGTTTGGTTTGCTCTTTCCTTCACTCCAGGTCTACTAAAGTTGGATATTTGTAAGCCAGATACTTTGTAATACTCTTTATCACATTTTGGGCCAGGAAAAACTTGGCTTGTACAGCTGATTCTTCCCCCCCCATCAGGGACTTGCATCCCCAACGTGTTTTAGGTTCTTAAGACATTTTGTTCATGGTTTTTTTTTGTCAAACTTGCTTTATGGTTCCATTATAATGCACAAAACCTTTGCATTATACAGGTTTCTGTTTGGGGTTGTTTTCTTGTAAACAACAACAGTAATATTTTTAGCTTTTTATTTAAGAAAGCTGTATTTTTGTCATAAGTGAGGAAGAGCGGGCTGGAGGAGACAGAGAGCCAGAAAAGAAAGGCAACAGATTATACAGTTCACAGTTTTGTTTTTTTCAAACTCAAGGACCTTCAAAAAATGACCAGAAAGCAAAAGCAGGAAACAGGCACCAGGCATTAATCAGCAAGTAGGGGTGGCCCAAACCCTCTCATTTGAAGGATTTCATAAAATGCCCAAGCACAACCGCCACGGCTGCAGTCCATTAGTGCCATGTTGCATTTTTCCAAAGCTTCGTAAAAAATGCAGAAACCGCACGTACGTGTGGATGCTGTGGATAACCCGGAGGTGTTTTTACCAAGGCAGCTTCAAGCAGCAGGTGCTCTGGGAAGCCGGCGGGTGCGTGGGGGGCTTCTGCTCTGTGGGGCAAAGCGCGGGCTGGATCGGGCCACCCGCACCACGGGCCACCAGCTCCCTACAAGCGATTGTCAAGGCAGTTAAGCGGGAAAACCAGCAATTAAAGAGCTCCTCAGCAGGGATGCGGCTTGATTTTGGACGCTCGGTTAAATCTGAAATTCTTCGTACAAATTATCGTCAGCTCCACGGGCTGACACAAAGATGATCTTGCATGTTTGGGAAAAAATAAAGGGGTTTTATTTAGTAATTGGGGGGGGGCACACGCCAAGCTGGTGTGCCCCCCTGGGAGCAGGGTCTGGGGGTGGGGGTCAGGGCATATCCCTCTGTCCTTCCCTGCATCCCGGGCTCTCTCCTGGCATCTCTGGAAAACCCAGGCTGCAAACCCGGCACCCACCTCCCCTAACCCACCGGGGTCGGGGGGAGCCTTTCGTCCAGCGTTGGGGGCCCCCCTTGGCTGCTTCGGGGAGCCCCCCGCTTTGCTCTTTGGCCATGCCAAAGCGGGAAAACCAACCCGGCCCCCCAACCTGGCAGGAGGTTAAAAGCCTTCCCGAGGTTTCGGTGGGAAGGGACAGGGAGAAAAAGAAAAAAAGGGAGGGAAAACGATACCCACGGGCCGGCCCCGACGGCTTCACTCGGCTCCCAGCACACCCCCATCCCCACCGCCCCTCTCTGTACTTAGAGATCATAGACAAAAATGTACGTTTACGTGTCGCAAAAAGAAAAAAGGATGCTTCTGCGGTGCCTTAAGTGAGTCTCGGTGCGGCCGGGGAGCTCCTGTCACACCTGGGCCCCGGTGCGGCCGTAGAGGGGGGAATTGGCCCCGGGGGGGTTCCGCAGCCCCCCTCCGCTCCCCGCCGCCTCGGCTTCGGCCCGTCTCTTCCTCCTCCTCCTAAAATTGCCGTTATCGAACATTTTCTCGCAGTTGGGGTCGAGGGTCCAGTAGTTGCCTTTGCCTGCGGAGAGAGGAAGGGGCCGGGCCCCCCCCCAAGGTGTTGTCCGACGACGCCTTCCCTCAGCCCCACAGCCGGCGGCTGAGGGGGCTGAGGGGGCTGAGGCGGCTGAGGG